GGAAGAGGCAGAAAGATGGAAGGGGGAGGGGAGGGTTGGGTGTGCAGGTGACTCAGCTGTAAAGTGCTCATCATCCAAGCACGGGGACTTGAATTTGGATCTTCAGCACCTACAGAAAAGCCCTGAGCTTCTGTGATCCTGTCAGTGAGGTGATGACAGGAAAGCCCTTGGGGCTCACTGGCAACCAGCCTACTTCTGGGTTTAGTGACAAGCCTAGCTCTCTTTTGTTTGTTTTGTTTTTGAGACACGCTGTCTCTATTATGTAGCTGGCTGTCCTGGAACTCCCAGGCTGGCCTCCAATTCACAGACACACATTTGCCTCTGTTCCCTCCCCCAAGTGCTGGAATAAAGGTGTGTGCCACCCTGACTGGCCCCACAAAGCCTATCTTAAAAACAAGGTAGAGGGAAATAGAGGAAGACACTCAACACTGACCTTGTATTACCACACATGCACACATATGCATGCATATACACACATGTGCACACATACACACACACTACCACACATATGCACACATATACACACACTACCACACACGCACACATGTGCACGCATACACACACATGTGCACACATACACACACTACCACACATATGCACACACATGCACACACATACACACATATGCACGCATATACACACACATGTGCACACATACACGCACACTACCACACATATGCACACACATACACACACGCACACATATGCATGCATATACACACATGTGCACACATATGCACACATATACACACACATGCACACATATACACATACACTACCACACATATGCACACATATGCACACATATACACTACCACACGCACGCACACATATGTACGCATATACACACATACACACTGCTGCACAAGACTGTCCTCTGAGCTAAATAACACCTTCAGGTTCAGCTGTGCCCACTTGCATCATCCCAACTGGGCTTGTTGACTGTTGGGGGGCTGAGGGGCAGGAGACCCTCACCTCACTACCATTGCCAGTGGTCTGAGAAGGGGGCAGATGGGATGAGGCTGTACCCACACTCCCAGAAGTTGCCCTCGCTTGTGCTCTGTAAGTAAACCCAATAAACTCATTGGCTCCCCAAAATGAAATTTGGTGGAATTGAACCTCAGTTTGTCATTGGGACCTTATGAGAAGGGGTAAGTGTTGTATATGTCTCCCCTGGGAAAGAATTTTAGTAACACACACATGAACATGTACACACATGAAAGAGAGAGGGGGGCAGAAAGGGGGGAGGGAAGAAGGGAGAAGAGAGAAAGAAAGGCTGTAGAGTGTGCTGCGCTGGCAGCTCCAGGCGCTTACTCAGAGGCCATGATCTAAAAGAGCTGGCAGGGGCACACCACTTCCTCTGTGCCCTAGTCACACTGGGCAAGGTGCTCAGTCAGGACAGTTTCTAGCTCAAGAAGTGCTCTAGTGAGTGCAGACCGCACTCCCTTCCAGATCAAGAGATCCCTGTAAATCAACGTGCCCCCAAATAGCTGGTGAGTGCCAAGGGCCACCATTCTGTGGAGAAGCAGCCCTGTCAGGGTCTCCACAACCACCACCACCATTGGTGACTGTTCATGGGCCCATAGTGCATGCCCTGACACGGGCACAAAGGCATGCAGTATGCCTTAAGACTGTTGCTTCCTTCCCTACTCAGTGAGTATCACAAAAGAATGTGACATCCTGGCCACAGTCAATGTGCTGGGTTAAAACCATTCTATGAAGGCCTGGAGACATGGTTCTACTGTTAGAGTGCTTGCTGCAGGGGATGGTGGCACACACCTTTAATCTCTGCATTCGGGAGGCAGGGGCAGGCAGATTTCAGTGAGTTTGAGGCCAGCCTGGTCTACAGAATGAGTTCTAGGACAGCAAGGGCTACATAGAGACCTTGTCTCAAAAAAAAAAAAAAAAAGTCAGAAGTCAAACAAAAGCACATGCTGTCCTTCCAGGGGACTAAGTTCGGTTTCCAGCACCCACACCATGTAAATCACAAACACCTATGATTCCAGCTTCAGAGGGATCCACTACCCTTTTCTGGGCTCATGGGGACCTTCACAGAAGCGTGAACACACACAGGATAAAATCAAAATAAAAACACATACATGCTCCAATGTTGAGGAACAGAGAATATTTGTTTATGTAAAGATTAAATTACATTTCTTTATGCTGCATTTATTTAACTATATAAAGAGGTGCTGCATTTGTTTCACCTTGCCTGCCTAAGGCACCTGATTGGCCTAATAAAAAGCTGAATGGCCATAGCTAGCAAGTAGAGGGATAGGTGGGGCTGGAAGGAAGAAAGAAAAGATAGGAGGAGGAATCTAGGCTCAAGAGGGAGTTGCCCAGGGTCAGCCAGACAGGCAGCCAGACACAGAGGAAGCAGGAAGGTAGGACATGCAGTATGGAAGTGTAAAATGACACCTGTTCCGTTCTGCACCTACTTGTTACACGCTACAGGAACTAGGCTGAAAATTTAAAATCATACACACAGACAGAGACACACAGACAGGGCCATGGGGACATCCTTGAGACAAGAATGTCTCAGGGACAGTTTCTATAGGGCTCTGGCCACGCCCCAGCTCTCCGGACCTTTCAGCTGCAGACTCATCAGAATCCACTCCCCTGCTGCTCAGAGCGGAGGAAAACAAGAAATTCAGGGTCTGGTGATCTGCAGTCCCCAACATGAAAGAAAGGTAAAAAGCCCCAAGGCAAAATGTAGATGAAGAGAAACAAGTTAAAATAAGTTATAAGAGCTGGTGGGACAAGCATAAGATTGAATATTCATAACTAACAATAAGTCTCTGTGCCATGATTTGGGGGCCGGTGGTCCAAGAAAGTCTGCTATATTCAAACATCAAGACCACCCAACATGGGGGCTAGAGAAATGGCTCAGTGGTTAGAAGCACTGCCTGCTCTTCCGAAGGTCCTGAGTTCAATTCCCAGCAACCACGTGGTGGCTCACGACCATCTGTAACAAGGTCTGGTGCCCTCTTCTGGCCTGCAGGCATACACGCAGACAGAATATTGTATACATAATAAGTAAATATTTTTTTTAAAAAAAGACCACTCAACAAAGTGCGGGCATCATCTTAAACAAGGAGACACCGAGGCTCAGGGAGAAGGTGCACGCCCCAGCATCACAGAGGGGAGAGGTTGCAGGGAAGGTGCTGCTGATGGTCCTATCTGAGGCTGACCCTGGTGGCCAGATGCTTGACCGCAGAGCCTCCAGCTCCAGCTCCCCCGATAGCCGAGGCATCTCAAAGCCCCCCCCCCCCCCCGCATTTTTAAGCTGGTTCTGTTCTTCCTGGCCCTCTTCTAAGCCTATCAAAGCCCCCATTCTCTGAGCACAGCCGTGCCAGCCCTCAGCCCCTCCCCACCAAGAAGCCAGGTGTTGGGGCCCTGAGGGGGGCTGCCTGAAAGCAGGAGAGGGCACAAGCCTGCACAGCCCTCCTGGTGGCCACTTCAGATGGGCACCCAGTGACAGCCAGTGCTGAAGAGGTGCCTGGAAGGCAAGAACTTTGGGGACAGCTTGTTCACACCTCAGGCCACAGCTTTGGCCAATATGGGAGTTAAAGTGGCAGAAGATCACAGGTTCTTCAAGAGAGCCTGAAAACGTCTCCAGACAGGCTGGGAGACAGCCAGCAGCACCATGTGGGTATGAAGGAGGCCTGGCCTCCTCCTCACTCTTTTCCTGAGTCCTTGGTCAGTAGTCCAGGGCCAGCAGCTTCTGGTTCAACCAGCCAACCCCTGTAACAACACTGCACTTCACCATCTCTCCCAGAAGACCTCTGAGGTTCTGTGAAGTATCACTCCCTGTTGCTAGGACACGGGTTTGTGCAGGAAAACTGGCTCTGTTGCTGCCAGTGCCAGGACCATGTCGAAGACCTAAAGGGCTGCACGCAGCAGCAGGCATGGGTCCAATTGCCCCTCAGATGGAGGATAGAAATGGACAGTGTCCTTTGGCTATGAGTCAAGACTTCAAAACTGGAGGGAAGGTACTTATCGGCAACGGTTAGAGTTGAGTCTGGATAGACTTCAGTGTAAATGTCCTGAGCTGGTAACAAAGGAGGACTTCATAATGCCAACCTTCTGGAAAGGGCTCCCTCATGAAGGCCCAGCCCACAGTGGCCTGCTGAGCCCCTAGACAGAATCTTTCAGACAGACCTTAGTAAGGGTGTGTATGATGTAGGAAAAGATTCCACATGTATGCTGGAGGCCCTGCTGGGTGTGGGTGGGTTTACAGCCCAGACAGAAGCAGAAGCAGGGTTCCCCAGGCCAGGGTGTTCCTAACAATCTGCTCTTCTGGCTTCCCTGGTCTCAGGAATCTGCCCACAGCAGTCTCCAGCCTGCCCCAGGAGCAGCTCTCCCTCAGGCACAAAGATGTTTGCACCGGTAACTATGGGCTCAAGGGTGGGGGCGCGGGGACGTTGGGGAGTACCTCTTTTCCTGTCTTCTCTGGCCACAAAATTTGCCTGGGAAAAAATGTTGGGTTACATCTGAGACATCAACTGGACTGAATTTCAATCCCTTGGTTTCCTGGCCCCACCTGGTGGGCCTGCAGCCCTGTAAGCCCATGTGTTGCTGAGCCACACAGATGCAATCCAGACACCTGGACCCAGAGCCAGAGTCCTTCCCGGCTGACACTGCGCTAGTCTTAGGACCCCCAACCCAGCCGGGTCCTGGCTGGCGTCTTCAGGAACCCTGCTTTGTTGCCTTGCTTTTGTCCTTTGTCTCCCTGCGTGATTCTGCTCCGGTTCCAAGGTCCTTCTGTCCCTACAGTGGGCGGCAGGAGCTGGAACTCTTTCTTTAAACTTTTAAGAGTTTGGAGAGGACTTTGTTTTTTTAGAGCTTCTGAAGGCGTTTTGGAACTAAGTCCACAGCATGGGGTGGGGCATGGTTAGGGAATTGTTACAACATCCCCTGGGTTGGAAGTTAAGGTGTCACAGGTGGGCAGGGTGCATTTGGGGATCTGGAGATGACGAGGCAGGGACTCCCACACTGACCTTGCTGGCATCCAGAGGAATGAGGGACAGGGATCTGGCTGAGTCGCCTACAGCTGGTGCCAAGGCTTTGCCTAGAGTCCCAGGCGGGAGAGGATGGAGAGCCTGGGAAAGAAGGGAGAAGCAATGGGCAAAGTGGGGGCAGGCAACTGGCAGTCCTCAGGCTCACCCCGGGCACCAGGCTAGCAGGCTCTCGCTCTGCACGTGGGCTTTTGCAACCTGTGACGTCTGCTCCATCAATACCCTAGACTTTCTTGACTTGCGTTGGCTAGCCCGTACTTCTGCTGACCCACCTCCTCCTAGCCAACGACTGCAAAGCCAGCTCCTCTTCTGTGGAGGGAGAGGAAGCACCGAGGGAGTATAAACCAATCAAAGCTTCCTCAAAGGGGAAGCTGTGGTCGTTTGCACCTTCTCTGACCTCAGAATACGGCTTTCCATTTTCACCCGCCAGCGCCCTCTTTCCCTGGGCAAAGCTCCCATCATCCCTTCATCCTTTGAGCTACGAAGTTTGAGTCGGCCCTCCTCCCTTTAACCAATGAGAAGTCTCTCCCGTGTTCTAACTCGCCTTTTTGCGTAGCCACAGCTCCCTCCACTGCTCCCTCCCCACCCCTTCTGCCCTCCCCGCTGTTAGTCCTGGGCTCCCGTCCGCGGAACCTTGTCCTACTTCGCTTGTCCTCCCTCGCTCTGGCTGCTGTCGCCCGGAACCCTTGCGGAGAAGACTACGGGTCCCGTGACCGCGCAGAGCCCCCCTCGGGGGCAGCTAGAGTGGGGACGGCGCAGAAGGCGGGGCGCGTGAGAAGAAAGGGGGTTTTGTGCGGCGCCCGGCGGGCTGGCGCCCCCATCTGCGTCCCGCACACCCGGCCCTGCTCGCGCCCGCGCATTGCGCCGCAGTCTTGGCCGCGGCTGCGGGACGCACGGTGTACCGAGGGGACTTTACAAGGTGAGTGCGGAGGCCGGGCCCTGCCAGTTTCTTACTTGCTGTGTGACCTTGGGCAAGTTTCTTGACCTCTCTGAGCTTGAGAATTCGGGCTTGGGTAAGGGCGCGCAGCTGGCCTGGCTGCTGTGGACGACCGGGATGGTCGCCCGCCGAAGCTTCCTGAGGTCCCCGCGCACCAGAGGGCGCGGTCGGCGGCGCCTATCCTAGGGCAGGCACACAGCGTGCTGTACAGGCGGGCCGCTAGCTCCCTGCCTCCGCCGCGCAGCCTGCTGGAGCCAGTGCGCGATTGAGCGAAGAAGCTATGCGGAGCAGCCAAGGGTGCCCCGGTGCCTCCGGGAAGGGTCAGAGCGCTTGAGCCTCGAACAGGAGCCACTCTTGTCCCAGGACAATCGGATCCCCTGACCTCAGGCTTCCCCTCTAGTCCCCTGCTGTCCCGAAACGAGTAAAAGGGAGGACGAGTGTGAGTAGCTACTGCTCCCACGGAGAGTGGCTCAGCCTGGCCTCTCCAGCAACCCTTCTCCTCAGAACCTGACTCCCTTCTTACTTCAAAGCGATAATCCTAGTTACAGCTTGCACAGCCCAGCCAAGAGTGAAGGCCACAGCTCTGGTTAGCAGGGGGGTCTGGCCTGGAAGGACATGGCAGGACCTGAGAGAAGGAAATTCCCCATCACTTAAGCTCCAGCGATTGCCAGCTGTGAACACAGAGTGAGGACTAGGAGTGAGAGAGGGAGGCTGCGAGAAGAATTGCCTGGCGTCCTAACCTTGGTACCCTGCTGCATCATCAGGGTACCTGATCCGTAGACCTGGGTCCCCATAGTATTCCGACTCTGGCCTGGCTCTTAAAGACTGTGTTTATTAGCTCTTCAGCTTTTCCTCCTGAGGGCAAATGCCCTGGCTCCTGATTTAGCTCTGCTGGTAGCCCAGAGTTCTCTCTAGCCTTCTCTGGGCACCCACCTGCATTTTCCCAGAGTGTAAGTGCACTGAGGTCCTCAAAAAGAGAGTGTTTCCAGAGCTGATGGCCAGACGGGGGCTGGCCTCCCCCCCCCCCCCCCGCACCCTTCTCCAGTATACTCCAAGTTGTAGGCTTTCACAAAAGATGGGTGGGGGAAGGAGCAACTGGATAGAGGCCAGACTGGCAGGGACAGGGTCTTTGTCCCGGCTGGCTTCTGAGCCAGGAGATCCGGTGGAAAAGCCCGTGCCAGGCAGAGAGGAATGACTGAGAGCAAAGTAGGAGGGATGGAGGGGGCAGAGGATGCTGGGCACCAGGGGCAGCTTCCTTACAAGTTCTTGTGGGGAGAGGAAGCAGGAGCGACTACAGTGCCTGGGTTCAGTCTAGGAGGCCCTCCTGGAAGAGAAGGCTGGGCTTTACCGCTGTGGACACCTGAGGGCAGGGGAAAGTGGGCCCACAGTTGTGCACCCGCCCCCACCCATGGATCTATGTGGCTGCCGGAACCTGAAGGTGCTCAAGCCCCTCGCATGGAATTCTGTCTTTGCATCTTACCCACGCATGTCTTTCATACTCAGGAACCTGTCTCTGGGTGACTTACAATTTCCAAGCGTATGCATGCTGTTTAGGGAACAGTGACAAAAAAATCTGTATGTGTTCAGTACCGCCTCCTTTTTTCTGACTGGTTGGGCGCACAGATGTAGAACCCAAGTGCAGGGATAGCACAGTGCCACCCATCATGGGTTATAAATGTTCATTGAACATCTACTCTGTCTGGTGCTGGCACGTGCATAGGGTGCTTTCTGCTGTAGATCATAGTTAGGCAAGAAGATAATAGATATACAACGATAACAATGTATAGATAACAGCTAGATAGGCAGATAGACAGACAGACAGACACTCAAAGCACATGACCCCACCAAAATGCACAAGGTAGTAATGACGGTGCTTTTTTTCTTTATAATTAAGGAAACAGAGACTCAGAGATGGTAAGAGCCTTGGCTAGGTCACACAGAAGCTGGGGATTCCTCTTGGTGCTGAGGAGATGGGATTAGAAACAGAGTTAGTGGTTATTCTGGTATGTGCAGAGAGGCAGAGGAAGTCCATCCCCAAGTATAACCGCACCTTTCCTCTTTCCTCCTCAAGTTCGTCCATCAGTTTGCAGCATGATCCCACTGCTGTCCCTGCTGGCAGCCCTGGTACTGACCCAGGCCCCTTCAGTCCTAGCTGACGATCTGAAAGAGGACAGTTCAGGTGAGCAACCCTCCAGAAGACCCATGTCTCTGCTGCATCTTCCCTACGGCAGAAAGCTGCCTCCGTTCAATCCCAGTCATCTGCTTCCAGCCCGGGTACCGGAAAGGAGACAGATGAGGAAGTTCTGTGGGCAAGGGCTGGAGCCAACTGCAGAATAGGGATGAGCTGGGGACCTTGAAAGGTGGGGACGTCTTGGAGTCAGTGCTGCAAAGGGGCTGAAGGCGGGAGGCTAAGGGTGGAGGATCGCATTCAGGACCTGGGCTGGGATCAGCATTCGGAGCCCGGTGTAGGCACCTTAGGCTGGTTAGTCCTGGGGGGCGGGACTTGGAGCCACGCGCACAGGCGCAGTGCGTCCTGCGTCTGGCTGCAGCGGGCTTTGACCCCTGTCCACAGAGGACCGAGCCTTCAGAGTGCGCATTGGCGCCACGCAGCTGCGGGGCGTGCTGGGCGGCGCCCTGACCATCCCATGCCACGTCCACCACCTGGGGCCGCTGACCAGCCGCCGAGCAGTGCCGGGCTTTCCCCGGGTCAAGTGGACCTTTCTGGCCGGGGATCGGGAGGCTGAGGTGTTGGTGGCTCGCGGGCTGCGGGTCAAAGTAAACGAAGCCTACAGGTTCCGAGTAGCCCTGCCCGCCTACCCTGCATCGCTCACGGACGTGTCTCTGGTGTTGAGCGAGCTGCGGCCCAATGATTCCGGGGTCTATCGCTGCGAGGTCCAGCATGGTATTGACGACAGCAGTGATGCTGTGGAAGTCAAGGTCAAAGGTGAGAAGAGCGAGTAGAATGAGGTCCCTAGAAAGAGGGAGGAAAGGACTCTAGCCCCCAGGGAGCTGAGTGTGAGGAGGCTTAGCAAACCTTGCATGTGCAAAAGGCCCAAGCTGAATTGGGAAAGCAGAGGGGGGAAACAGTCCTACGAGTCCTAGAGAGCTCAGTCGGACTTTGCCTTTTGTGAACAGTGACAGAGAGGGGAAGTCAGTGCGCTGGTGATTGTCAGACTCAGGAGTTCTCTTTGCTCCTCAGGGGTTGTCTTTCTCTACCGAGAGGGCTCTGCCCGCTATGCTTTCTCTTTTGCTGGAGCCCAGGAAGCCTGTGCTCGCATAGGTGCCAGAATCGCCACCCCTGAGCAGCTCTATGCTGCCTACCTCGGCGGTTATGAGCAGTGTGATGCCGGCTGGCTGTCCGACCAGACTGTAAGGTGGGTCCATCGAGGTTCCCCAGGGCTCCCTGCCTCTGGGAAGAAAACTGGCCTAAGGAAAGTGGACAAGCCCCTGCCTAGAGCGTACTTTTCTGCACCCCGACATCCTTGCCACACTTGTCACACAGCAGAAAGGTTGATAGGGCAGCCTCCTGGGGCAAGACACCAGTCCTTCGCTTCTTCTTCTCTTAGGTATCCCATCCAGAACCCAAGGGAGGCCTGCTATGGAGACATGGATGGCTACCCTGGAGTCCGGAACTATGGAGTGGTGGGTCCTGAGGACCTCTATGATGTCTACTGCTACGCCGAAGACCTAAATGGTGATTGCAAGTGACAAGCCCTCCTGCAACAAGGCCTGGGGCTTCTTCTGGGGCTTCAGTAGACTTCATGTGTCTAAGGGCAGAATAGGCAGGCTCTTGATGTACTCCTCCAAATACTGTTCTGGAGGCAACAGGTAGCTGCCAACGGGGGAGGGAGAGTGATTCGCAGTACTATAGAGTAAGGAATTGGGGCCAGGCTTCTCTATGCACCTTGGGTTTCATGCCATCCTTGATACTATCAGGTGGGCAAGATGACCTCATGTTAGGAATGAGTTTGCCTAGGGACCTGTAAGAGTCCAGGGTGGAAGGATGACCCAGCTCTTCTTCTCACTCAGGAGAACTGTTTCTAGGCGCCCCTCCCAGCAAGCTGACGTGGGAGGAGGCTCGGGACTACTGTCTGGAACGGGGT